AGTGTGGGTGCTCTCGCCACCTTTTTCTTGCTTCTTTGTGTCCGTATGTTCACTTCCTTTCTTTTTTATATTTATTCATATTTGGCTGCATTGGGTCTTAGTTATGGTATGTGGGATCTGGTTAGCTGGCCAGACTTGGGAACCTGGACCACCTGCATTAGGAGCATGAAGTCGTAGCTATTGGACCTCCTGGGATGTCTCTCTCTTTAAAAACAAAAAAATTTGTTTTTAAATTTTTGGCCACTCCACATGACATTTGGGGGGCTTAGTTCCTCAGCCAGGGATTGAACCTGCCGCCCAGCCCTCTGCTCCATTGGAGGTGTGGATTCTTAACCACTGGACCACCATGGAAGTGCTCAACTGCTTGATTTTGGCCACATTCATCCCTCCAATGTAAGGCTGTTTGGGGAAGGATGGTGGGGACTAAGCCTACCAGATTGTGATGAATATATTATTGTCTGTCTTACCCAGTGGCTCTGAAAATGTTTTGGTTCATAGACCTTTTTGCAACTTAGAGAGAAGCTGAGAATTCTCCTCCCAGGAATTATACACAAACCACAGATTTTGTGAGTTATTTTTGGACTTTAAATATCTCATAGTTCCCTAATGTAGTACATCATACTAATGAGAGCTAACAGTTTATTCACAGTTACAACTGTTTGGGAATACCGTGGTGGGCCAGTGGTTAGGTTTCCACTCCATGCCACGAGGCCTAGGTTGAAGGCCCAACTTGGGAAAATGCCCCCCACCCGCCCCAAAAAACCAAAACTGCCAGTCACCATTCTAAATGCCTCATATGGGTTAGTTCACGGAATCCTCGTAAAAATCCCATGACCTCAAATCTATTATTATCCCCTTGTTTGATGAAGAAATTAGGCCCAGAGAGATTATGAAATTTGCCTAGAGCCAGTATTTTAAACAGAGAGAGATGCAGGTGGCTGACAAGTTAATCTCAGGTGGAATTCAAGTCCCCATCTCTCCCTCTTACTCTCCCTGTGACCTCAGGCAAATGGTTTCATTTCTCAGAAGCTGTTTTCTCATCTGTCCATAGAAGATCATGTGATCCGAGCCCTGGGTTACCTTGAAAATCTGGTGACATAATGTTTGCAGAAGTGCACTGTCACCACGCAGGTGTTTGTGTAAAGGGGGGATGCACGTGTGTATTAGTGCATGATCCTGCTGGGCTCTTTTATGATCAGGAGCGTCCCCTTTCATTCTGCAGCGCTGTTGGAGTGGGAGCAAGGAGAGACAGGAAGTGGGGAGTGAGAGAGCCAGAGGAACCAAACGAGCCTCCGGCTTCTCTGGCCTGGGAGACCGAGGGGGACATGGCCTCTGTCACCGAAATGCAGTTCCTAGAGCAGGGGCGGGCAGCCTGAGACCGTCATCCGCTGGTTGGGATGTCCAGGTTTGCTGTGACTTTGGGACACACAAGGAACAGTATCCAAGGGACAGCTGGGATGGGCCTGGAGCCGGGGCAGGGCTGTAGGAGTGTCAGCACAGAGAAAGACCCTGAGACTTGAGAGCGGATGGATTCATCTGTTCTTCATTCATAGCAGCGCCTTCTGTAGGCCCCGCACTGTGTGCGGTACATGCAGTGCCTACAACAGAAAACAAACAAATCAGACCTGTGCAGATTTTATACTGGCAAGGAAAAACTGACAGATCCGTAAGTCAAATGTATGTCAGATGCCGAGTGCGGGGAGGGAATTACACAGTCAGGAGGAATGAGGAATGCCTCCAGTGAGGGAGGAGGCAGTGGCAAGGGGTTTTTTGACTTTTTTTTTTTTGTAGTATTTATTTATTTATTTGGCTGAGTTGGGTCTTAGTGATGGCATGCAGTATCCTTTAGTTGCGGGATGTAGGATCTAGATCCCTGACCAGGGTTGGAACTTGGGTCCCTGCATTGGGAGTGAGTAGTCTCAGACTCTGAACCACCAGGGAAGTCCCAAGATGTTGAGGTTTTACCACCAGGATTGAAATTTTGGAGTTAGAAAGCCCTGTTGGCTTGTAGTCAGTGAGTTGGGTCTGAATTTCTCTGCCAGTCATTCACTCTGTGTGACATGTGAGCCATTGATGTTCCTGTCTGTGAGCTGTGCCCTGTGGCCGTGGCATTTATGTACATGAATCCTACATAGGGTGATCATCCCCAATTTACAGACGAGGAAACTGAGGCTCCAAAAGCTGAGCGGACAAGGTGCTATAGCTAGTGTGCAGCAGAACTGGGCTCAAGCTCAGGAACCCGTAGTGAACAAAACCAGGCCTCTACCCTAAGGGAGCATCCACAGAGTCCTATGTGATTGCAGGCAGGGCTGACAGATAGGCGGTTTGTCATAGTGCCATCAAGGAGAGCTTGTGGTGCCAGGTTAGAAGCCCGTCCAGCAGAGTCTGTAGGAGCCAGGAACACAGGGTCTAACATATCAAGTGTACGTCTGCAGTCTGTTCCACCTTACTGCTGAGAAGTTTCACTGCAGTCGTAGATCTCAACTTGTTGACTGGCCTCTGGACTGTTGCCACTTTTTGGTGGCGTTTTTTTGTCCGCACCTCGAGGCTCTCAGGATCTTAGTTCTCCAAGCACAGATTGAACCCAGACCCCAGCAGTGAAAGTGAAAAGCCCTCAACACTAGACTGCCCAGGAAGGCCCCACCGCTTTTTGACTATTATGAACACAACTACTGTGAACCTTCTTGTACAAGCCTCTGTAGAGAACTTTCTTTGGGATAACTATCTGAAAGAGTGAAATTGCAGGGCCTTCAGTTAGATCCAGGACTTGCCTGTTGGCTCAGTGGTAAAGAATCTGCCTGCAATGCAGGAGACACAGGAGAGGTGGCTTCGACCCCTGGGTTGGGAAGATGCCCTGGAGGAGGGCATGGCAACCCACTCCAGTATTCTTGCCTAGAGAGCCCCATGGACAGAGGAGCCTGGCGGGCTACAGTCCGTAGGGTCACAAAGAGTCGGACATGACTGAAGTGACTTAGCATGCAGGCAGATGTGTGTTTTACCTATTAGAAATGGACTGGTTTCCAAAGTGGTTGTTTCATTTTATATTTCCTTCAGCAGTATGTGAGCTTCACATCTTCACTGATACTTGATATTGCCAATCTTTATTGATTTATTTCACTGGGCCAGGTCTTAGTTGCAGCTGCACATGCAGGAGGATCTAGTTCACTGACCAGGGATCAGACCCGGGTCCCCTACATTGGAAGTTCGGAGTCCCAGCTACTGGACTGCCAGGGAAGTCCCACTAGTCTTTTAACTGACGTGGGTTGAATTTTATCAAGTGCTTTTTCCACCTTACAAAATAAGTTCTAACCAATGAGGTTGTCCTTGAACTCACATTCTTATTCTCAAGGTCCTAGGGAGTTCCCTGGTGGTGCAGTGGTTAGGATGCCACTCTCTCATTGCCAGGGGCCCAGATTCAATCAGTCCCTGGTTGGGGAAGTAAAATCCCACAAGCTGAGCAGTGTGACCAAAAATAAAAATAATAATAATAAAATGAAGTGAGTCCACGATGCCATCTAAACCCCTCACCCTCTGCGGCCCTGTTCTTCGTTTGCCTTCAGTCTTTCCCAGCATCAGCGAAAGTGAAAGTCACTCAGTTGTCTCTGACTCTTGGCAACCCCATTGACTGTTTGTGGAATTATCCAGGCCAGAATACTGGAGTGGGCAGCCAATCCCTTCTCCAGGGGATCTTCCCACCCCAGGGATCAAACCCAGATCTCCTGCATGCAGGTGGATTCTTTATCATCTGAGCCACCAAGGAAGCCCTCCTAACATCAGGGTCTTTTCCAATGAGTCAGCTCTTCACATCTGGTGGCCATAGTATATGGAGCTTCAACATCAGCCCTTCCAATGAATATACAGGTTGATTTGCTTCAGGATTGACTGGATTGATCTTGCTGTCCAAGAGACTCTCAAGAGTCTTCCCCAACACCACAGCTTGAAAGCATCAACTCTTTGGTGCTCAGCCTTCTTTATGGTCCAAAGCTCACATCCGTACATGACTGCTAGAAAAACCATAGCTTTCACTATATGGACCTTTGTCAGCAAAGTGATATCTCTGCTTTTGAATACGATGTGTAGGTTTGTCATAGCTTTTCTCCCAAGGAGCAAGCGTCTTTTAATTTCATTGCTGCAGTCACCGTCTGCAGCGATTTTGGAGCCCAGGAAAATACAGTCTGTCACTCTTTCCAGTTTTCACCCATCAATATATACAATCTTTGTGTGTCTGAGTCTGCAGTTTGTGGTTTCTACCGACCCTTAATCATGGAATCGCATTTCCTGATGCTTAATGGTGTGTGTGTGTGTGTGTGTGTGTGTGTGTGTGTGTGTGTGTGTGAGAGAGAGAGAGAGAGAGAGAGAGAATTCCACTCCTGGGTAATATATCGGTGGAGATTCTTTGAGGGGCTGGTTTGAAGTACATTCCTCCAAAGCGATTTGCCCTCTCACCAGGTGATACTACATACATGGGAACACTTAGAGTTTTCAACTTGGGTGTTTCCACACTGATAACTAGTTAGGAATTTTGCTCCAAGTCGTTGACAGAGATCATAGATGAGAATACTGGAGTGGCTTGCCATTCCCTTCTCCAGGGGGTCTTCCTGACCTAGGGATCGAATCCAGGTCTCCTGCATTGCAGGCAGATTCTTTACCATCAGAGTCCCGAGGGAAGCCAGTATTGGCTAGGAGTCTGCTAAGAGGAGTTTCCATGTTTCCTCTCGTATCCCCCCAGAGCTCAGGCCTCCCACTGACTCCCCCACCAGGCCCATCTCCCCTTCATTTACCCTCAGGAGGAGCGCTCAGCTCTGCACTCCTGGAGCTCAGGGGCGTCTCCTGAGAGGCCTCTCTTCCTGAGCTGGAGCCCATGCTTTCTTTCCCTTTCCCTCTGTTCCCACCACATTGTCATTCGGTTACTAAGTTCTGTCCGACTCTCTGAGACCCCATGGACTGCAGCATGCCAGGCTTCCCTCTTCTTCACTATATCCCAGAGTGTGCTCAGATTCATGTCTGTTGAGTCGGTGAGCCATCCAAACATCTCATCCTCTGTCAGCCCCTTCTCCTCCTGCCCTCAGCCTTTCCCAGCATCAGGGGCTTTTCCAGTGAGTCAGCTCTTCACACAGAGAAGGCAATGGCGCCCCACTCCAGTACTCTTGCCTGGAAAATCCCATGGACGGAGGAGCCTGGTAGGCTGCAGTCCATGGGGTCGAGAAGAGTCGGACGTGAGTGAGCAGCTTCACTTTCACTTTTCACTTTTATGCATTGGAGAAGGAAATGGCAACCCACTCCAGTGTTCTTGCCTGGAGAATCCCAGGGATGGGGGAGCCTAGTGGGCTGCCGTCTATGGGGTCGCACAGAGTCGGACACGACTGAAGTGACTTAGCAGCAACTCTTCACATCTGATGGCCAAAGTATTCCCACGACCTAGAGCCCTTTGAAAATCAAGCTCCGTGCCACCTGGAATCAGTGAGAAGGCAGACACCAACATCAGTGCTACGCATTGTATCAGTCTGGGTCCCACCAGAAGACTGAAATCACACCAGTTAGTTTACCAAAGAATTAAATAAGGGATTAGTAAGGAGGTGGCTCAGTCAGTTTAGAATCTGCCTTCAATGCAGGGGACACAAGTTGGATTCCTGGTGTGGGAAGATCTGGAGGAGGAAAGGGCAGCCCAGTCCAGTATTCTTTCCAGGAGACTTCCATGGACTGAGGAGCCTGGCGGGTTACATTCCATGGGGTCGCAGAGTCCGACACGACTTCGAGACTAAACCACCACCGTTAAGCTAAAGAGGACAGAAGACGCAGGTAGAACACAGAAGCGAGTGCTAGGAGCAGCCAGCACCCTTAGGGTTGGAGGAACAAAAGGAACGGGTTGGAATTATTGAAATGTTGGTGTTTTGATGCTTGGAGATGAATGCTTTGGGCTGAAATTCAGATCCTGAGGAGGGGGTGAACCCCAGCTAGTTCTGGTCTTACCCTGAGAACGTGCGGTGAGGGTAGTTCTGCAGGTCCTGGGATGCTAGAAACTGGACTCACCTGCAGGACCCCACCCCCACCTCAGCTGCCAACGTGGCCGCAAAGCACACCTGGGGTGCTGCTCATGTGACCTGCAACATCCCGCCCCCCTCCAGAATGCTTGGGGCTTCTCTCTCTCTCTCTCTCTCTCTCTCTCTCTCTCTCTCTCTCTCTCTCTCTCGCTCCCCCTGCTGGTGGAGCCTGACGAGGAGCAGCTGGAGATAGAGTTGTGCCCAGCATCCCAAAGCATCCAGGGGCGCAGGGCTCTGACTAGGGGTTGGAGTGGGTGATGTCTGGTCACCAGGATTCCTGGGTCTTGAAGGTAAACAGAGTTTGGGGGACGGGATCCCTGATTTCTCTGGGGACCATCAGACTACGGAACTCCTCAAGGGAGTTGAGGGTTTGGCCTCCTGGAAGGGGGCTATCTTAGTCTCTCAAGAGTAGAACTAGATCTAATAGGTGTCTAGTCCCCCTGTGGAGGAGGAGGTGGATGCGCTGATTGCTGATGAAGGCGGTCTCCTTCACACTGGGGATTCTGACATGGAGGAGGGGAGTCTGGGTTCCCCAGGGAGCTGGAATCCTTGGGCTTCTGAGCCACAAAGGGTATAAGAGGTAGGTGTCCAGGGTTGAGGGATAGGCCTACATCCAAAATGGGCTTTGAATCTTCACTGGGGGAAGGACTGTTCTCTGGAGTCTCAGAACTCCTGGGCTCCCCAGAGGGCTGCGGTCTTTGCTTCTTCATTCATGGCTGGTGGAAGGTCTCCATGGAGAGGAGGGAATTGGGGTCTGTGTAGGAGAACTGGAGTCCCTTTGGTCCGTCTTGGGGAATAGGAATTCCATCTGCATTGCCCTAGGGCCAGACAGCCCTTTGACAGTCGGGGTGGCCTTTTACAAGTGGCTCAGCAAATGGCATCTACCTGCAGAGTTATTGTGAGCATCCCACGTAGGCACACCTACACCTGCATTCTCTTTCTTGCACAATAATAAACTTGCAACCCCTCCTGGAAGCCTGGAACACGGGGAGCTCAAACTTCAGTCTCACCCTTTGCTCAGGGTGCCCCCCACTCTGACACCATCTCTGACTTGGCCCTGTCTGACTTCTCCTCCCTGCGCTTCCCTCTTCCAAATTCCGTCAACCCTCCTGCCAAGGGGCCTCCTGCCTGGATCAAATCTCAGAAAGCAAGACCCGCTGTGTTTTCATGTGTCAGTGCCCACTGTGCTGACCTCGTTCACACAACTGTGTGTCAGCACCCTTGGGTGTCACGACTCTTTTGGAATGGTTGCCTTTTAAATCATGACTTTTCAAAGGGTTGAAGTTTAGGCTCTGAAGGCAGCAAGTTGGTAGCGAGGCATCTGTCTCTGGGAGCATCCAAATAGAAAAGATGGAAGACTGCCTTGTGGAGGAGTCACTGGCTGCCCTCAGCGTGAGTCTACGCGGCAACTGTATGCTGGCAGGCCCTTGAAGGCAGGAATTCGCGGAAACGAGATGAATCTTGGTGTTGCCCCTGGCAGAAGCAGAGGAGGTCCAAAAGCCTCCTCAGCTTAGCTGAAGTTGCTACTTGCCTGCATAACGATAAATTTGTTTCCATTGAGGTGAGGAACCATGAAGCCCGGAGAATCAAGGGTGTCTTTCCCTGTGGTATTTCTTGGAGGAGCAAATACAAAAGTAGAAATTCTGTTGTGTATCTGTTCTTTGGGGGTTCAGGGGGTGAAAGATGCTTGGGATTCTGTCAGCTGGAAGCCTAGACTTCTGGGTCAGAGGGAGGAGGGCTGGAGGGTGAGGATCCCAGGGTCCCTGGAGAGGAGGGATGGTGGGGTTGTGTGCAGGATAGAATTCCTGCACACCCCCAAAGCTCCGCAGGGACCTTTGGTGCACTTGGGTTTTGTGCTCTTGTCATCTGCCATGAGAAGGACATTAACCAGGGAGTCACAGATCCAGAAGACTCTGGAATCCTACGGAGGAGAACTAGAACCCCCCTCCCAGACTGGAACCAAACCGACCAGAGCACAACCAGAAACAGAGCTACCCCAGATACCTACAAACCCATAGGAAGAAGAGTGTTTCTTTTTACAAGTCGAAACTGGGGCATGGTTTGTTATACAACAATACTACAGCATGAACAGACTTACAACTTTGTTGTTTTAAATCACTGAGTTTAGGGACTGGTTTGTTACTGTAGCATAACCCAGACTGTCCTGATAGATGCCAAAGTCTAGTGGTTGCTAAACATGGCCACTGAGGAAGTGGCAGCTATTAGGATGGTAACTCTGGCCAGACACACTGTCCCAGAACCCAGGCTGCCTTAAAGGCGCTAGTGCAGGGTGCTCAGCCACTCAGTGGGGTCTGACTCTTTGTGACTCCGTGGACTGTAGCCTGTCAGCCTCCTCTGTCCGTGGATTCTCCAGGCAAAGATCATGGAGTGGGTTGCCATGCCCTTCTCCAGGGGATCTTCCTGACCCAGGAATCGAACCACGTCTCCCACATTGGCAGGCAGATTCTTTCCCGTCTGAGCCAGCAGGGAAGCCCCTTAAATGTGCTAGGCACTGCACTAAGTCCTTTTCTCGCTTTCTTTCATTGGACTCTAAGACAGACCTTTGAGGTCATAGCTATTATCTCCACATTTTACAAACATGAACTCTGGGGCAAAAACAGGTTAACTAGGAGAGGTGATCATGGACTCTGGAGTCTGACCCTCCCAGCTGTTTGACTGAAGACAAGTGATACCACAGTCCGTGCCTCAGTGTGTTCTTCTATAAAATGGGGGCAATGCTTAGAACTTCACAGAGATGTGATTATGAAATGAGGTACTACATGGAAAACACTTAGCATGGGGACCAGGCAGGATGTAATCCCTTAAGAAAAGGTAGCATCTTCTATTTCTTTCTTCCACAGAGAGTGTTCCCAAGGGTTCAGACCCCTGCTTTTCGCATCCCATCTCCCCGAAATGCATCACATCACAAAGACTCAGGATTGTTCTGTTAACTTGTTTATTTTATAGACACATGGGAAGTTGTAGCTGAGGACGAATTGAGACCAAACACCACATGGGCCTCAGTTCTTCACTCAGCCTTGCCTGAAGCCTGGGAGCTTGGATGACAGCTGGTCTTCTTGATGGTCAACAAATGAGAGCCTGAGGGCACCAGGGTCCCAGGCTTGCTGTGGCAGGCGTTCTCCATACCACAGCCCTGGGCAGCAAACTTGACATCTACTGGAGGGGTTTTTAGAGTACAGTCAGGATCTCCATTGCCTCCCCCCTCCTAGTCCAGGGTCATATTTCCCCAGCCATCTTCTCCCCCCGATCTTTGGAGCCACTCTCTCCCTTAGAATCTGAAAGAATGAGGCTCCAGTTCTGGGAGTGTCTGGAAACCCTGTGTCCTCCTACCGAAATTCAGGAGCCACTCACGACTCTGAGCGAGGCCAGACACGGCGACACAGTGGGTTTCATCGCCAACGCAGACTGTTTCCTGAGTCGAAGTGCATGTTTCCGTAAAGGCAGCGATGCAGGAAGGACACCGAAGGCCATTCTCTGTGTGGTTTCTCATGAACGCTGAAGAGGAGGGTGGAGGGGAAGGTAATCGGAGACGTTAGTCCCTTTCCCAGCATCACAGCCACTTAGGGGACACCAGTTGCTAACGCACGCTGCACTTCAGAAAACAGGATTTGACCGCACTGGATCTTCACTGCGGCCCGAGGAATCCAGTTCCCTGACCAGGGATCAAACCCCTGCATAGGGCACATGGAGCCTTAGTCAGTGGCCCAGCAGGGAAGTCCCTGGACACTGCAGTTTACAGAAGAAGAAACCAAGGCTCAGCGCAAGGAGGACGCTCGTCCCTGGTTACAGGGCAGGTCAGCAGCGGGTGCTCACAGGTGGCCCTGGCGGGGGAAGGTGGGCAGGGAGGGGCTCCAGCTGTGGGGCTCAGCCGGGGCTCACCGGGCAGCGGGTCCTGGTTGCACCCATCGTTCTTGCAGCAGCGCCTCGTGGAGCCCATGTAGTTCTCAGTGTTCACAGTGATGGCGAACGATCCTGAATCACACTCGCTGGATTTCGCACACCCCTTGTAGCTGGTCACCGCCAAGGAGCCCTCTGCAGGATGGCCGTGGGCAGCAGGGCTCAGTGGCCCCCGGTGTGGACCCTTGCCTTGGGTTGTCTCCCCCACCTTATAGTAGCCCCAGCCCAATGCTGTCTAGAGAGGTCTCTTCCAGCGCCCCAAGTTCAAGCCCCTTTTCTGCCTGGGGCATCGTCTGAATGGTTTATCAGGTATGCACCCATCCTCCCCCTGTCCCCAGGCTGAGCTGGACTCTCCAGAGTGGCCCCTTCCACCCCAGGGCCACCCCACTGCCACCCTGCAGGGGTCACACCTGAAGTGGTGTTTTCCAGACCACCTGTGACTAACCCCAATCCTCTGAAATGGTCTCTTCCTGTCTTCAGCCCTCCCCTGACCCCTAGAGTTCCTTCCACCAAATGCTGGGATGGGGCCGCCATCCCCGCCCACTGTCACACCCATTTCCTTCTCCATCTAAGGTAGACTCTTCCAGATTTCCCAGGGTCACTCCCCAGACTTCCTACCTATGGTCTCTTGCTGCCCTCCTTGGCTACTCTCAGGTCTTGCCTGCAGTGGTCTCTTCAGTCTCCCTGGCCTTCCCCTTCCCCACCACAGATAGGGTGTCTCCTCCAGGCCTAGGGTTTCTGCTCTGTACACCACGTGCTTGGGTGTGTAGGGCTCAGTTGTGCCCGATTCTTTGCGACATCATGGACTGTGCCCAGGGATCCTCTGTCCTTATGTGTCTCTCTGTCTGTGACAATATTGGGACTTACCAGGGGGTGCAGTGGTAAAGAACCCCCCTGCCAATGTAGGAGATGCAAGAGACCTGGGTTCCATCCCTGGGTGGGGAAGATCCCCTGGAGGAGGAAATGGCAAGCCTCTCCAGTATTCTTGCCTGGTAAATCCCATGGACAGAGGAGCCTGGCGGGTTACACTCCATGGGGTTGCAAGGAGTCAGACACAACTGAGCTTGCACCCAACTCAAACAGCCCCTGTATCTCCCTCTTTCTCTAGTCAGGAACAGTCTCTTGCAGCCCACATCTCTGGGAGAACCCTCAGCCCCCGAGAATCAACCTGATCACATTCACCCAAGGCTGCTGTGCACCCACCCCTTCACCTTTTACATATTAGATTTCCCCCCTCCCCCCATGTCCTTTGCTTTCCTAATTCCTTCTTTGGTAACAAAGTCTATCTGCCCCTCCTCCTCCTCTCTTTGGAGTCTCATCTTCAGAAATCCTTGGCCATAGTGGTTTCTGTCATTCCACCAGATTCTCTATTCAACACCCACCACGAGATTGCCTTTCCAGCTTTCCTGACACAATCATCACTCAAAGGTTCCTCCCAGCGCATGGCGGTATCTGCCACCCTGAAGGCACTGCCGCCCACCTCCCCAGCATCTGATACCAGCCCCTGTCCACTTACCTTTTTTGGCCTCAGTCAGGATGGTTATGCAAGTGTCTTCATCATGAGTACAAGTCTGCAGTTTTCCACTGCAATTGGGACCGTCACTGGTACACACCTCACAGCTTAGTGGATACCCTGCAGTTAGAGAACAGGGCTCCAGTGAAAGGTGCCATAGTCTTTGGGCCATGACTCCCGAATCCAGACAGGGATGGGGTGGGGGGGGGGGCTCTGAACAAAAAGGTCTGGTGTCTCCCTGGTTATTCAAGGGCGGGGCAGTGGCTGCTGAACAGGGATCTTTCTGAAGCTTGGCAGGGATGCCATGGTGCTGAGAGCAAAGCTGCTTTCTGGGGCGGGGCAGAAAGCAAGTCCGATCAGGGAGCAAGTTTATGTAATTACAAAGCTGGGACTTGGGATGCTACACCCCCTAATGAAGCTTGGGGACCTTGAGGGGCCTTGCTGAACATTTCCATGGGCTTTAAAACTTCTTAAAATAGTTTTAATTTTCTTTTTTCTTTTGTTGCCTGTGCTGGGTTCCTGTTTTCTGCTGGTTTTTCTCTAGTTGTGGTCAGTAGGGGCGACTCCCTAGTTCCGGTTTTGGGTTTCTCATTTCTGCTGGTTTCTCTGGTTGCAGAGCACAGACTCTAGTGCATGAGATCACTAGTTATGAACGGTCTTAGTCACCCCAATGCATGTGGAAAGTTCCTGGACCAGGGATTGCACCCATGTCCCCCGCTTTGGCAGGCAGATTCTGCCCTGAACCACTGGGGAAGTCCTTCATGGACTTGTGTGAACCTTCAGGTCCAGGTTGTTCTCAGAAGTGGGATCACCTTCCATGTGGGTACCAGGCTGTCTAAGTCTGGTAGGCAGTGGGAGCTCAGGCAGGGGTACTTGAGAGGGGATCTGCATCCCTGGTGAAGAAGAAAGATTGAAGAATAAGAGGATAAGGGCCTGTCTCCTTGGTCCTGAGAGAGGAGGCTACTGGAGGTCTCGGTCCTGGGGAAAGTGGAGCTGCCTGAACTCCTATATCTGAGGGAGGAGGACACCAGGGACCTGAACTCCTTAGAGTCCTGGGAGAAGGGAAATCTCTCACCCTCGCCTCATTTTTTTTCATACTAATGACCAATACTGATCGTACTCTCATCTGATAGTCTAGATTTCAGGTGTGTTATTTTGAGACACTGCCTGGGATACAGGGAGCAGAACCCATCCAAACCCCTCCTTTCTCAGAGATTTAAACCCACATGTTTTTTAGCTCTTCCTCCCCTGTGGACCCAAGCTTTCTCCCCTTTACCCTCTGCCTTCTCCATGAATTTCAGTTCCCAGGACACCTCCTCTTTCCCTTCTCCCTTGCGGACATGGCAGAATGTTCTCTCATACTCACTGTTTTCAGGGTTCCAGGAGTCCAGAGCCCTAGTCACTTACCCAGACCCAGGAGGGTGCAGAGTAGGGCGGAGGCCAGCAGGAAGGTCGCAGATTTCATGGAAGGCTTCATGATGGTTGGGTGTGTGACTCTGCATTCCCAGGTCCCCAGCTGTTCTTATAGGAAGCTAAGAAGGGGTGGGTCTGGACCTACCTCACTGCTAGGCTAAGAAATGATGATGTAAGACCTGGGCTAGGTCTCTGCAGCTCTAAGTGGGAGAGACGGGACAAGAATCCAAAAGGAGCAGTGGCATCTTGTGCCCAGCCCCCTCCTCCCTTGCATCCCCAGGAGTCTGGGCTTCCAACCCTCTCTTCCATCAGGTCTCACTGCCCTGCCCGAACCCCTATTTTTTTCTAACGTGAACCCCAAGATCAGAAACAGGTCATTTTGTTTCCTGTAGGGTAGAGCAGCTGCTAGGACTCACGTACCCTCTCCTTCTCTCCTTCCCCAAGGAGGTGCCCAGTGTAGGTGAGGCCCTACCTGTGAGCGCCAAGTAAATCCAGGCTTGTTCTGCCGGGGCATGCTTAGCTCATACTCCCTTTTCTGTGTTTGGTTTGTCTCCATCTCCGACCCCAACCCAGGATGCACTTGGATCTCTCGGAGACTGAACAGAGGGGTGCTTGTTCAGGGCATGGGGATGGTAGGAAACAGATGCCCAGAGTTCACATTGGAAAAGGGAGGCATGGTTGGAAGCAGTCAAGGCTGGGTGTGTTTCTGGTTCGGGCACATACTTTGTGTTTTATTGAGGTCCTTTAAACACTCTGTCTATCTCAGGCCTGATCTTCAGGGATCAGAGATTTTCTCATGTGTGTGTGTCTGTTTTTGTTGGGCGTGGGGAGGTTAGCCAGCCAGCCAGCCAGCCATGAAGGGTATCTTGTTGCGGTAGGCTCCCGGCTTCCTGAAAGAATCCACTCAAGTTTGATGGCCTCTTGCTTTCTAGGCTTCAGTTGGGGCTCTGAGGATGGCGAATTTCTGCTGGGGACCAATCCTGCAGGCCAAGCCTGTTGCTAGAAATCCCGGTGTGAAAGTGACCGGGAGGAGGGTCTAGAGAGACCCGCGGCCGGAGCGAGGCCAGAAAAGCTCTTTGCTAGGGAACTCGGCGCCTCGGGCCGCTCTCCGGACAGACGCACTAGGCATGCGCAGTGGTGACGTAACCGGCGGCGCGCCGCGGTTTGAAAGTCCGAGCCTCGTGCGCTTGCGCAGTGAAGGCCGCACGGGGCGTACTCCCTGTGAGCCCCCCAAACTGAGACCTTCGTGCATCTTTTGGGTCAGGCGAAGCACACACGACGTTGACATGCCGGAGATCCGCCTCCGCCATGTGGTGTCCTGCAGTAGCCAGGACTCGGTGAGGGACTGGCGTGGTGGAGGGTGGAAGAAGTAAAGGAATTCGTCAGGGGCTCTAGGAGAACTTTTGAAGTCTGAACGGTGTGGAAAACTAATGCGTCTGCGGGGTGCCAAGAAAGAGCTTGGTTGGGGTTCTTAAGAATTGCAGTTTGGGAGACCCAGATTCCGGTAAACGGAGTGTTGGCAGAGATTCAGGGGCTTATGAGAACAGAGGTCAGCAGGTTGTTAAAGTTGTGTGGAGAGAATTCTAATTGACTGTGATACACGTAAAGAAATATTGGCTTTAAAGAAGAAACTGTCCTGAGTTACTGGAGGGTAAGGGTCTGATAAGTACCTGGAGTTCCTGGCGCATATTCTGGATGCCTGTGTGAATACAGTAAGTGGCCAAAAGGTCAGATTCCATGGTAGCTGCTATCCGCTCGGTCAGAATTCCTCAGTGGCCCCCCCGGTCAATCTTAGGGAACACTTCTGGCAATACTGACTTCATTTTGGTTTTCCTTTCACAAAAGGGACTTTGTGGAATTATAAGGAGGGTCATGGGAGAATTTCTGGGAGGCCATAGGGAATCCTGGAGAGATGTGGGATAGAGGAATTTGCTGAAAGAAAAGGAGGGGTTTTGCTTCCTGGGAAGGAGCAGAGGTGAATTTCCAGGGGAAATGTTGGAGGGGACTCCAGGTAGAGTGTGGGGGGATTTATTATTTTAACACTGGAAGGTTTTGTATTGGGGTAGAGCCAGATAATAGTGTTGTGAGAATTTCAGGTGAACAGCAGAGGGACTCAGACAATCATATACATGTATCCACTCTTGCCTAAAGCCCAGAGTGTGCGGGGATTAATAAGGAAACCTCAAGCTGGGTGATGTCAGAGGGCTTGAGAGAACTCTCAGAGTCATCTGAGAGCTGGGATCATAGCTGTCATTTCTGAACCCTAACATTCCCTTTTCTACTCTTCTCCTCAGACTTACTGTGAAGAAAACCTTCTCAAGGTGCTCGCTTCGGCAGCACATATACTAAAATTGGAACGATACAGAGAAGATTAGCATGGCCCCTGCGCAAGGATGACGTGCAAATTTGTGAAGCGTTCCATATTTTTTTTAGAGCCATAAGGTTACCATTAGAACACGCATCAATCTTTGGGAATTGACTCTTGAAATTGATTTGCCATGCTATCTTGAGCCTTATGTATAGGTGAGCTCATTTGGTTTCAATAAAGAAATAAATATAATTTAAAAAAAAAGAAAGAAAACCTTCTCAAGGCAGACACTTACCGTAAATGGCGGGCAGCCAAGGTGGGTGAGAAGACCATCTCTGTGGTGCTCCAGATGATTCTGCCATCTGTCTCCCCCATCTTTTTTTTTTTTTTTTGCCCTCTCTGCTGGGTGGCATGAGGGATCTTAGTTCTCTGACCAGGAATGCGACTGGAGCCCCCTGCCCTGGAACCTCAGAGTCTTAACCACTGGACCCCCAGAGAAGTCTCCCTCCATCTCCTTAATAGAAATCTGTAGGTCCAGGCTCCAGACCCTACTTGGGGTTAACTGGCAATGAGCTGAGGCACTTTCTCTTTGGTCCTCACCACCTCACCTGGACAATGAGCCTTGTGGTCCCTGTGCCCTTAGCAGAGGAGATAGGTGATCCAAGGACTAGGCCAGGAATGAATCCGTGTGTGGTCCAGGTCAGTTGCTGCTCTTTTCAGAGCCTTATCATCCTCAGTTGGAACAGAGTAAACCATTGCCACGCATTCTGCCTTCTAAAGGGCTTTGGACTGGAAGGTGTCTCATATCATCTAAGCCAATCAAGCTCCTTTTAAAGATGGGGAAACTGAGGCCTGGGAAGGGCCAAAGTGCAGTGGTCAGTCCTAGCGACCATTGTGGACTGCTCAGTGCTTTGGTACATGCTTGGTGAGGTTGGAGGGAGCCAAGGGAGAGGGGAGTGTGACCCAGAATGGTGACAGAATTCCCAGCAGGCGGTTCCCTGTGGGAGAAGCGAGGTAGAGTGTTCCCAGGTGCTGCCTGGGTGTTCCCCTGCGTGATCTAGCTCTCCAGGGAGTCAGATGACGTTGGAGCTGTTATCACCCCTCACACATGGCGGTGCTGAGACCTGTCCTCAGTGTGGGTGCTCTCACTGAAAGAGTCTTTGGGGCCTAGAAAAGAAAACAACAGTCTCAAAGGCCCTTGCTGAATCATCTAACTTCAGAGAAAACAAAAGAGAACTCTAGGTCCCGCCCTGATGCTCCAGGCCGGTTGCATCTATCTGGGACTTACCAGAAACCTGTCCAGAAACCTTCCACCCCCTACACCTGCCCAGAAGACTTATCACCCCCTGCCCAACTACAAATGCCATCACAACTAAAGAATACCCAAAACATCCCGCCTGATTAACATTTCCCATATCGCTTCCACAAACCTCCCTGTAAATATGGAGCCTCCTTGACCCCTTTGGGCGCTCAGCCTGGTCGTTAGGCTGACTGTCGCCCCTCCTTGCCTGAATAAAGGTAACCTCCTTCTGTTGAGGTCGTCTTTCCTTTTCTGCCTCTGCCCAAATATACCTTACCTTCTTGGTGCTGAAACCCAGGAGGGGGCGAGGCACTCATCTCACTCTCTCTCACTCGCTCACTCTCCCTCCCTCTCATTGTTTTCCCTTTTGTGGGAGTCTGGAAGCAGGAATATTCACCAGAGCTCACTTTTCTGCCAGGGCTCTTAAGTTCCCCTCAGGACGCCTAGTTCCTTCGTGAGCAGTGCAAGCCTTGTGCTAGGGCTTTATTGGTGCTCTGCGTACCCGCAGGCCTTGGCTTTACCCCCTTTTCTCTCTCTGACGACCTCCAGAATAGGGACCTCTTGCCATTCGACCGCTCTACATCCAACACTCCACTCAGGCCGGCCCCTAGATTAAGGTGAGATCCGATCCGGACGGAGTTCTAGAGGCGCCCTAGAGCTCAGTCCTCTCCGGGTCCCGGGGACCCCCGGCCCAGGGCCACTCTGTAGGCGACGGTGGGGGACGCTCCACTTCGACACAGAGCTCTCTTCTCATAAGTCTCTTATTGAGACTATGGGTGACGACTCAAGCTCCCAATAGGAGCCTCTGCTTGCCTTTCAATTATGGGATCTGGTCAATCTGTCCCAAAAGATTCCCCTCTGACCTGTGTTCTCAAAAATCTCAAACCACTCTCTCTCACTGAACTCAAACCTAATTGCTTAAAACAACCCTGTACACAGATTTGGCCTCAATACCAATTAGACAATCAAGACGGCTGGCCTGAAGTCAGCACGTTTGACTTTAACATTCTTCAAAATCTCACTGACTTCCTCAAACATAATGGCAAGTGGTCGGAGGTCCCATATGCCCAAGCCTTTTGGGCCCTTCGGAGCAGGCCCTCCCTATGCCAGGCCTGCTCCACCCACGAGGTCCTTCTATGCACCTTGCCTCCCAAGCAAAAGGGCTCTTCTTCCTCAACTAACCACAGACCGTGATCATCCACACCCCCGGAGTTCGACCCCGCGGACGAACCCCCTCCCTACCCGCCACCCTGCCAACCCTCTCCTTCCCCTTCATCCAACTCACCTACTGGCCCCGAAACCTCTCCTGGTTCCCCCTCAACCCCGCTACCCCATCTCCCTGACTCCCCCTCCCCCCCTTCCTTCCCCACCTGCCACACGGTCGTGTACCCAGCATATGTTCCCCTAGTAGAGGTGGCAGGACCAGAGGGCCCCACCCGAGTCCATGTGCCATTTTCATTGTCAGATATGAGCCAGATAGAAGAAAGGATCATTTTCTGAAAATCCTACCAGATACAGAAAAGAATTCCTGAGACTCTCCCAGGCCTATAACCTCACATGGAGTGACGTATAATGTATCCTAAATGCGACTCTCACCCCAGATGAAAAAGACCATATCTGCCAAGTGGCAAAAGCCCATGCTGACCATTTACATAACCAAGACCGGGACAGCCCAGTTGCTGATGAGGCAGTGCCTCAGTTAGATCCTCACTGGACTTATCAGCCTGGTGACCCAGGTATCAGGAGACTCAATCATATGATCACTTGCATTCTAGAAGGAATGCAGAAAAATACTCATATCCATGTCAATTATGATAAAGTCAGAGAAATAACCCAAGGGGCAGATGAAAATCCAGCCTTATTCTTGGCACGCCTCACAGAGGTACACCAACCTAGATATCACCACCTCTGCTGGGTTACTTTACATTCACATTCAATTCATCAGCCAGTCTGCCCCTCACATCAGACGCAAGCTTCAACAACTAGAAAAGAGCCCTGAGACCACCCCCCCCCCACCAAAGAGAACTTCTAGAAGTAGCCTTCAAGGTGTTCAATAATAGAGAGGAGGAGGCTAAGAGAGAAAAAGACGTGAGAGAAAAGCTAAATATGCCTTTTTGGTGGCAGCATTTAAGGGAAGAGATCAGCCTGGCCCAAGTCATCCCAGAACTGGGCTTAAGACCACGACACCCCCCCCCCCCCCGCCCCCGGACCCTGCTTCTGATGCAACCAGTCAGGACAGTTTGGGCATGCCTTTACCCAAACCCACTGCCCTCCACAAAAGTATGCCCTGTGGCCAGTGAGGACACTAGAAGATGGACTGTCCCCAGGGACACCCTGGCACCCCCTGGGGAGGTCCCCACCTCCCAGACCTGGAGAGTGGAATGTCCACAGGGACGCCCTGGATCCTCTGGCGAGATCCCACTTCTCCCCAGAACCCCAGCCCAACCCTACGAGAGTTGTTCCAATGACGGGGCCCGTGTTCCAGCCCCCTGGCCTGTGTCCCGAACACCACCTCAGAACTTAGGGTAGACAGGGTAGTGGCTGGAAAGAGACCTGTTTTATAGTAGATACTGGAGCCACTTTCTCTCTCTTAACTTCCTACTCTGGCCCAACTCAAGACTCAGAACTCACAATCAAGGGGGTCTCTGGAGTTCCCCTAAGGCCAAAAATCAGCCCTCCATTACTCTGTCAATTTGGAAAATCAACTCTTATACACTCATTCCTCATAATGCTGCAGTGCCCGATGGCACTCCGAAGGAGAGATCTGTTATCCAAATTGGGGGTCTTTGTTACCATACCCCCCTCGATACAGTCTCTATATTCTGCACGCAGATGGCACCTGGACGGTCCCTATCCCTCACCCCTGACCGTCCCTTGGATCTACCCACCTTAGACCCCCAAGTCTGGGACAATGATCACCCATCCGTAGCCAAACATCATCCCCCATTCCACATTATCCTGAAAGACCCCTCGACTATAATCA